CGAACATCTCGAACAGGTACAAACCAGCAGTTTCGTCCCCAAACTAGCCCTGAAGCTATAGAAACGAGCATCTCGAACAGGTACAAACCAAAAGTTCCCATCCCACGGAACAGTCCTTTCTGTTAGGGTTTAGGGTTTAGGGTTTAGGGTTTAGGGTTTAGGGTTTAGGGTTTAGGGTTTAGGGTTTAGGCTTAGGGTGGTTGCAGAACACCCACAATATCAGTTCTAAAGATCTTGTGGAAGCCTAGAACGTATCCATTCGCAAGAACCCGATTCGAGGCACTACAAGCCCTGTAAACTTCCATAAAACCCTAAACTTAAAGCCCTAAACTTAAACCCTAAACCGAAAACCGCTCAAAACAGAAAGCTAAGACTCCAAGTGCGCAGGTTTCGGGCTTCGTGAACCCTAAAACCCTAAACCGCTGAGGCTTTTCGAAAGTTGCGGCACTAGAGGCTCTGGATTTAGGGTTTAGGGTTTAGGGTCTGAGGTTATTTGCAAGGGAAGACCGGAAGGTCCGGTGACCTAAATATTGGGCTTTTAGGGCTTAGGGTTTAGGGTTTAGGGTTTAGGGTTTCAATGGTTTGGGTTCGGGTGCAGGGCTTAGGGTTTTGGGTTTAGGGATGCTCGGAGGCTTGTTTCCTGGGATCGGGTGTAGTTGACGAATTTTGTGGGGTTTTCAAGCTTGGCGCTGGCGGGTTGAAGGAGCCAACGGCAAGACGCCAACCCAACCACACTGAGGGACTCCCAGTGTTTGGACCAAGAAAGAGAAATGGACAGCTCCAGATTATCATGCGAAAAGCTCCTCAACTCCAAATTTGAAGTTTCTGAAACAAATAATAGATTCCGGTGTAATTAATGCTAGAGCTTAGGGGCTAGGACCGTCGTAAAACACGGACTTGCTGATTTTCCAGATCAGGTCCAGACACGGTTTCCGAGAATGTGGGTGTGGCCTCGACGAGGCCAGTAGCCGCATTGACCTGGGGGTGCAATGCTCAGGCTATATATATATATATATAATATAGCAGAAGCCATAAAGTTGGAACATTATGATCCCCATGCCCTTAGGACAAAGCATAAGGGATCCTAGCACTAATCATCCTCAACCCCATGTTCCAACTTTGTGGACTTCGCTGTATTGGGTTAGGGTACTGAACCCTAGGATTTTATCGCTTGAGGTGCGGCTTAATCAGTGTAGAGGGTCTGCATGTCAAGCCTTGCACGCCCTTAGAACCAAAATACAAAACATAGTTCTAACATCCCCTTCCGAATTCTATTCTTATACACTACAGAAGCAGTCTTCAGCTATAGGGAAACATACAGTGCCGTGGAACCGCTCCTACATGCCCTTGTAGAAACCTTACAGACCCGTATGTTATCCCTCTGTTAGTTCCATGGCCGGATGCTTATTTTAATGCCGGACCTTCTGTGGCCTCTGAAGGAATTTGCCAAGCGGCGGTGTAGATGAAGTCTTGCCTGCTCGGGGTCGAGGGGTTAGGGGTTGAAGGTCATTTAAGGTGCAGGGTTTCAGGTTGGGGGTTGTAGATCCAACGATTTGCACCCACATAGTGAAGCGCTACCACACCTTAAGAACTCGCCCTGCAGCTTGGGGCATTCGAGTGACGTAATCAAGGATGGAAACAAAACATGGCAAATACGACGAGATCTGAGCTGCTAAGATTTTCGGTTTTCGGTACCTGAGCCAGACAGGAGACCTCAGAATAGATCTGAAGTGGACGTAATCTCAAGCCGTTTTGCTCGCTGATGCTTCTCTGCCAGCCTGCCGCTGCAGAGAATGTTGTGCGCCAGCCGCGCCCTGAGCTCGACAAACACACGCTGCCGCAAGAGAGCCATGTACAGCGGTGCAGGATCTAAGCTTCAAGCCCACACTCCAGCCCTCGTACACTTATCGACTCATCAACATGTACAGGAACGAACAGCGAAGCACAAGAAATACAACATGCAGGGCGGGTCTCTGCCGAACACAGGCACTCGTACGTTCTTGCAGCATGGACAAACGCACGCGGGCCGATGAAAGGCTTTGGTCGTTGGAACAACTCTGCTCCAGTCGTAGTGGTAGTAGTCGTAGTCGTTGTGGTAGTGCGGTGGTGGTGATGGTGGTGGTGTTGGTGGTGGTGGCGGCGGCGGCAGTGGTGGTAGTCGTGAATGTGAACGTAGTCGTGGTCGTAGTCGGAGTCGTCGTCGTCGTAGTAGTAATACTAGTACTGGTACTAGTAGTAGCAGTAGTAGTAGTCGTCGTGGTTGCCGTAGTGGTAATGGTAGTGGTGGTAGTAGTGGTGGTGGTAGTAGTAGTAGTAGTAGTGGTGTAGTTCAAGGAATCGCTGTAATTAGTCAGTCTGGGATGCAAGTGTATGGTTTGGGGTAAGACCCATCATTCATCCAAAACAGTCGGAAACTTGTTAAGTACGTCGTAAGCTACTGTCTCGCGGCCCCGCACAAACTCGCACAAAACCAGATGGATCCATATCCTATGTACATCTGTATACATGTATATATACATTTGTCAACAGAGGCGTGCGGTCTAGGACCACCACATGCACCAATCACTCAGAAAGGAGAGATAGTGCCAGAACAAAGCCTAAACCCCAAACCCGATAAGCCCTAAACCCCAAACCCTCAACCCTAAATGCGCACGAGGTGTTGGGTGGTGGAGTTTTTTGGATGGAAACCGAGGGTTGCTCAAGCCGAGATAGCTTTTTACCACTGAGGGCTGAACCCCAAGGTCCCTGTTACCCTGGTTTGCAGACCACATTGACGGGTTTAGGGTTTAGGAACTAATTTATGGGTTTAGGGTTTAGGGCTTGGCGATCCATTTCTGGGTTTAGGGTTTAGGGATCCGAGGTTGTAGGTCTGGGGAGTAGTGAGGGGCAACACATAGAGGGTACGTCGGGCACAGCTGGAGCAAGTCTTTGCAGCAGAAGCACCGGTCGTAGAGTGGCTGGAGCAGGCACAACCAGGCCAGAGAAAGACCCAAAAGAAGAAGCGCCACTTTCCTAAGAGGCCGGTAGTTCGGGTCTCAGGCGTCGGATGATGAATCAAGTCCGGGGTTGCTACTATGACGACCACCACCAATACTTCTCCTACCTGCCAGGACCCTCCTTAGGTATTTGGTCCCAAATTTCCAAATTGAGGGTATTTAGGGTCGAAAGTTATAACAGAGGGTAGATGGAGAGTCTAGGTCTACCTCACTTCCATTATCGCTGCTGCCGATGCCACACCTGCTGCTAACAATACAGCTACGGCCAGGACAAGGACGACAGCGCCGGAGATGACGATGACGACAAGACGAGCAGGAGGACTACGAGGACATCGACGAGCACCAGCACCACGAGCGCTGCTGCCACGGCTATTTTGAAACTACCTGTAGTCTCCAATGTAGTTCCTTCTTCTGCGCTATCCAGTGTGATATGGGGGTCCTACAAGGTAACCCAACGAGGAACTACAATGGAGACTACACGTATGGCTATGACAAGTCAAGGCTACTACTCCGAAAACCATAGCTACCGCATTCTCACATCGCTATAATGAGGCGGAAGCTCTGCAAAGACGGGATTTCATCAAGAAGGCTCATCTGCTAAGGATCACCACGTTGAGAGCTTCGGCTACAAGAGCACAGCCGGGCTCCAGAGATTGAACTGTATATATGGCTTACGATTGTGCTTGAGGACTTTCGGGCGAACCTCCGTGTCTGTTCCGGGTGTATGTAAATTTCAGTAGAGCACAGCACCACAGCCCCTAAACCCTAAACCCCACCCCTACGGTGTGTATGAGACCCGAAATCTGAGATTCTCTGCCCATTGGCGATGCTAAACTCACCCTAAACCCTACACCCCCCAACGACCCTCTATTCACTCTCAATACCCACTATGAAGGATCATGAAGGGCTCTATTAAAGGGTACTTGGGGGGGGTGCTGGTAAACCCTTCACCCTTGTACACCCTAAACCCTAAACCCTAAAATTTCAACGCGGAGAGAAAGACCAGCGGCAGCATATTCTTCAGGCGCTCCTGGGTGGAAGGTCGCTCATTGAGAGTCTTTCGCTTCTAAGTGTTTCAGGGTTTAGGGTTTAGGGCTTATAGGGCTGACTTAGAGGGTTTAGGGTTTAGGGTTTAGGGCTTATAGGGCTGAATTAGAGGGTTTAGGGTTTAGGATTTAGGGTTTAGGGCTAGGGCTTGGGGCTGAATTGGAGGGTCTCGTGAGGTACCTGAAGGTTCATGGAACTCTGGCTATGACTTGTCCAACCAAGGCTGGAAGTATAAACTCTTTACATTTGTAAAACTCTGTGTCCTGCGGAAAACTTGCCGTCTTGATTTCTCTGTGGAGCTTAGTGTCCGGCCTCGGGGAAAAGACTACGCCAGCTTAGATATAGACGGCGCGCGTTCCACCCATATTATCCGGCACCTGCCAAAAAAGGACTTCTGTGTAGCATCCAATTCCCTGAGAATCAGAAGACAAAGTCTTCTTACAACAAAACGTACACCCTAGCAGCCTAAACCTCGAACCCCAAAACGCTAAGCCCGAAACCCTAAACGAAAGTCCGAAGCACGAGCTACTTATTAAGACTGGAAGCCTTACAGCCATCAGCCGACCCATGAGCTCTAACACGACCTGAATACTGCGCAGCACGGGTTTGGATTAAATTGCGGCTTCAGCCTCAGCCAAAGTACGAGTGTTCAGGATTATTATTTCGCTTAGGGGTTTACGTTCTAGGGTTTAGGGGGTGAGGGCGCGTGCGTGTGTGTCTGAGAAAGATCTGAGAGAGAGAGAGAGAGAGCGAGATAGACATGTGTGTATATATATATACACAGAAAGCGTCAC